ACACTAAGTCCTCTAATTTTAACCAGGAAAAATTTACTCAGACTACTAAGCTCCCACTTCCAGTTGCCTTGCAAGAGCTTTCAATAATGCTTTAAACCTCTGCCTGCCTGATATAAGTATTTCTGAAAAAGCTTCAGCAAATCATCAGTGGAAGAACCTAATGGTGAAAAAGTTTAATATGTCTTGTATTACAGGGAATACACAAGACTGTGGTGTAACATTCTTTTTTGGCATGTTACTTCATAAAGACTGAGTGGAATTTTTACCAGACAGCCAAGCATATGCCCTGTACTTATACTTAAATTCCAGTTTTATGGAACTGTCAATTACAGTATTCCTAACTTTGGGTTAGAAATTCTTAACATTTCCAAATGCAGCTTACAGTGCATCAAATGAGATGTTTGTACGAGTAACATGTTTCACACTGCAATTCTTGTATCCTTTTGTTGATCTCCTGAAGAATTTGGCAAAAATACTTGTCAATTCCATATCAAAATTGCTCAGGCAGGTAGCCAACTTGTTGCAGAAACGTCAGTTTGTGCATACACATGTTCCCAAAATGCGTGAGCACTAACTGCATGTTTAAGCTTGTGTAAGATCTTAATGCATTCACTTCACAAACAAATTCAGGATACACAGTGTGAAAGATGAGGGTTTCAGAACCTAAATGTTCTGTAAGACAGGAATTATTTACTCTGCACATGTGGTATATACAGAGAGGACTCTACAGGGAGTAACACTAAAATGTAAAAGGAAAAAACATTATTAAGGATCAATTTTAAACTTTTATTAATGTGACTAGAGACATTTACCACAGAGTTGTGCTCATTCTAGCCACTACTTTCTCCTGGGACTTTCATGATGCTTTGGGTGAGTGGAAGAAGGAGACACATATGGGAATTTGGGAATATGTGCACTTTGGGTGTCAATGTCTCAAAATCTGGTTTGATTTTCACCCAATAGCAATTTCATACTTAATGAATGTTTGCATGCTCGTTCATAGAGAACAAGGCTTACTGTAAGTGTTGAAAAGCAGTGGGAGAAATCCTTTATTTTACTATAACATCTGTTCCAACTTCCAGTAGAAATCAGTTGAGTTGCCTGCAATTTTGGATAATTTTCAAATATTCTCCCTTTGAAGCACAGAAGTAACATTTCTCTAGGGCCAGAAACCCCTTTTTGGCTGTATCCATAGTCCTGTTTGGCCAGGAGGCATGTAAGAGAGGCTATGAAGTCAAGTATCCCAAGTTTGATTTTGAAAGAGTTGAAGCAATTTATGTACCAGTTTCTTGGATGGCATTTCAGTGAACAGACTGATGTAAAAAAAATTAAATAAAATAAACTAACCAACAAACAAACACAACCTATCAACAACAACAAAAGGCCATACCAAAAGGTGATAAAGGCACAAAACAAGTTTTTCGGCTGAGTTTTCATGAGTTAGTCACATCCCTGCTAACAACACAGAGAGCAGCCAGTGAGTGGTCTTTGGGAACAAGACTGTCTGATGTGCCAAGGCCTGATAGGCATTGAACTCCTCCCTGCCAAGTCTGAGGCCAAGTCTCATTGCCTTCCCACACACAGATCAGCTTGAAAATAAGCCTTGGCAAAGTGCAGACATACACCCACTATTTGGAAAACAGGTAAGAATGTAAATACAGCTGATTGCTGTTAAGTGTGTGAAAGTTGCTGCCAATGCAGACAGTAGCTTGTAAACTAATTGGACACATGTACAGATCCATGCATTTGTTTGTCTGAGAAATTAAAGGACAACTTATTTTCCCAATCAAAACTATCCTATGAAGCAAGAATGGGGTCTCCTCTTGCTATATAGTATATGAATCCCCTGCCCGAAAGCTGGGTAGCCGTGGCTTGCACATTTAGTGCAAAAGGTAACAAATGCAAGAGAATTTCTGGATGTTTTACCAATAAATCATTGTCCTAGTTTGGATCCAAAGTCTAAGTCTAGGTACCATGCAGCTCAGATCTAAGACCCATACAGTGTTCAAGAAGCAAAAGGATCCAGAGAAATTCACCTTTAATGTCAGTAACTCTCAAAAACAAATTAATTCAAACATTTAATTTTGTAACTGGTCCACAAGATGCTGATGTATAATGCACTGTTCTTTTTTTGGTTTTGTTTTTTGTTTGTTTGTTTTTTAATTTACTGAAGCGTAAATACTTTAGTTACCTCGATTCCTAGAGCTGAAAGATTTTAAATTTTTCAAAAGAAAAATCCTATGTAACTTGGCACAGCATTTGCTTATTCCTTATTTCAGCTTCTGTAAGTAAGTTGGCACAGCACTTGTTTGTTCCTTATTTCAACTTCTGGTTTGCGCCTATAAAACGCACTGAAACACAAAGATTTATACACACAAAACTTGCAGTTCCTGATGGGACAGAACAGGAACTCCAATGACATAACTAGCAACAAGAAGACTGCAGTGTCTCCCACGGCAGCTTTTGCTGAGCTAGTGCAGCAAACACAAAAGACAATCTCGCTGTGGTGCTCATGTCTGCATCTCGGCCACAAGGTGTACTGCACACTCCTTGGAAATACTGTATTGACTGGAGACACCCAGTCAGGAATGGGAGACAGACCCCAGGAAGGCAGTGAGCCAGGGTGTTTGGGTGGTCAAAGGCAGAAAACTTGAAAACGCCAAGCACAAGAAGTGCTGGAGCCAAACTGCAGAAGACCTCATAGGCAAAAAAAAAAAAAAAAAAAAAAAAGAGTTGAACTAGGTCAGATCACACAGTTGTTGATCAAAAAATATTTCCCACTTGTTGGTCAGGGCTGCTGCTCAGCAGTTTGAAGAAGACTGAGTGCTGTCTTCCACAATAACAAATCATTCTAGCTAATTAAAAAAGCATATCTGATGAGAACTCTGCCCCGTGTTTCTTGTCGCCAAGGATCACTGTAAGGAAATCGAAGCTACAAGAGTAATATAACTCTCATGCTTTGGGAATCCATTACTTATAGTGCTTACCTCTGCAATAACGTCCATCAGATGCTAACTGGAACCCTGGTTTACAAATGCATTTAAAACTGCCGTCCTCATTGATGCACATCCCATTCAGGCACATATTTCTTATGCTGCATTCATCCATATCTGAAAATGCACATAACAGATGTAATCCTTATACTGTTTACGTAAAAGAACTCCTACTAATTATATCCAAAAGGTAAACCTTAATTTCCTTCTTGGTTGTCAGGAGTACATGATAAATGGGAACATACAGTGGGACACAGTGCACTGCCCTAGGTTATTGATGAAAGCAGTAACTCCAGTTTTTCATAATGAATAGTTAACATACAAAGGTATGCATACAAAAGAAGTAAAGAGAATGACAAAATAGATGAGAGACTGGACAGTTTAAGAACTGCCTGTTGGTAAAAACCTTTAAAAGATTTTTTAGAAAAAAAGGGGGTGGGGTGGGATGCAATTGAAGAGAGCCTGCAAACTTGATGAAAACGGAAGCTAGGTTAGAAGCAGATTGCATTTGGAATGGCAAACGTATTTTTATATTACTAAGAACACCTGAATGGGCAGGAGTGGATACCTGTGTTAGAAGTAAAAACTTCTGTAACCTCTGTTTGATGAGTTTAAGATTTCCAGTGTGGGAGACTTCCCACCACTGCATTCAAGCATGCAGGAGCACATTGAACTCTGCTGCATTTTCATCATCAATTTCCATTTAAAATAAAACTCGCACCTTCCTGCATTTGGCATGACAGGTCACATAGTAGAGGTACTTACTAGCTTCATGCTGGTATTATTCACTCTCTGACCTAATGGCATAGAATAAGAATTCAAATAAGAATAGCATAGACTGCTATTCTGAACCCTGCACTGTCAGTCAGTCTCTCTCTCATGCAAAGACAAGAAATTTCTGTGCTTGATTTGAGTAATATATTATGTGCTCTTAGTCTTTACTTCATGCTGGTGCAAATGAAATAAATTTTGGACGTCACATACAAGAAAATCAGTACTACTTAGCAATTTCATATAAAGGACTATACACAGTTACATTGAGGGATGGCACACGGTCTTTACCGGTAAGTGTGTGCGTACGTATTCCTAAGAACAAAACTCAATGCATTACAATGCCAGAGATGAAACTGTTTCATAAGCGGATGCAACAGACATTCTGGCAACATGTGCAATGGAATTAAAAATATTTTACCAGACTACCGATGTCCTGGTTCTTATTACTATTAGCACATGGTATTTGGTGGGAAAGGAAGAAATCAGAATCAAGTGTTTGGTTTTTTTTCCAAAATATATTCATTTTCAAGTACCTTTAGTCGATACAGATCCATAATTAGATATTTAAAAACTAACTTATAGTGCTAAACTGTGTCTAAAAAAAGAGTCAGGTAAAACAGTCTTAAAATGTCTGTCTCTACCAAGGATTAACAGAATCACTACAAGCACATAAAATCACTGGATCATAATGACATTACAATATATTCGGAATCGTGCTATTTTCCTTAATATTGCAGCTGTCTTGGACAGAAATTACACTTCTAGACATGGTGTGTTTTCTTTTTACTTACAGGCTAAGTCAGACAAAAATAATTTATGATTAAAAAAGAAAAAAAAATCATGTATCTATCCCAACCAGGAATTTTGGCATTAAGTCTTTGAGCTGAATCACTGAGATAATATTCTGCCAAAAATGTTTCTAAGAACAGTGCTTGAAATTCCTTTAATGTATGAATAGATCATTGGGAACCCTCCCAAGGACCTTGAGAAGCATGATAAAGAACATTTTCCCCCTCCCCCCCCAACTTTGCTAAAGGTCTGGGAGGTAGGAACACATCAATTATGTTTACAAATTTTTCTTAAAAACAGACTTTATGGGTCAGCCCAGATTGCATCTGCATAAAACACACTGCTAGTCACACAGTTAGATCCCATAAAGTATGCTGTTAAACATACAGTAGAATTAGGCAGCATGTGACTTGTACTCCATTTTAAAATGTACCACTCCCATCAAAGAAACTGCATTTTGCCATAGTGGTATGTGCTATTTCTCCTGCTGGACAGACATCCTGTTGAGGTTTGCCAAGCCAAGGCTCCAGAACTGGCTGCAAAAGACAGTTTACTTGCCCTCCCAGATACAGCAAAAGGTATATAGAAATTTGATTCCTTGCTCCTTTCCTTTCCCTCTCACCAAAGGTCCTTTTCTTTTTTATTGATGTGAATAACCTCTTGCAACTGTATATTATTGCAACTAATATGGAGTAACTTCAGAAAAGTCTTACCTTCACAGTTTTTCCCATCAGCTGCCACTTGAAATCCAGCATTGCACACGCAGTGAAAACTGCCATCTGTATTTATGCATCGTCCATTATTGCAGATACGACCATTCTGTAAACATTCATCAATGTCTGAAAGCCAAACAAAAAGAAAAATAATGTTTTAGGACTTTTTTATACTCAAGAGGATTTTTTCCCATTTTCCTTCCCCCAAGATTTTTAACCCTACATGGAAACAATATTCACCTGAGAAATAATTTAATTTGATTTCCACAACCAAATGCTACAGGTATGGAAAATGTTCTGTCAGCTTGAAATTTTAAGTTGCTGTGAAAGAATTTCAGTGAACATTACCCAGCAGCTTGCTCAAACAAGAGTCAGACCCATTTAACTGTTGTTGTTTGGTTTTGTTTGTCTGTTTTGTTTGTTTGTTTTTCCATTTTCAATCATCATTAAAATGCTTTTACTGAAATTTAACTTAAGAATAGCTCACTACTGAAGGAAAGACAGGGGAAGTTTGTTTTTTGATGCTGCTTTGTAAAGTAAGAGGAGAGTTTGAGACTTTTCCACCTCAGAAGGTATTTTTCATGCTTACTTTATATTTGAAACATCAGCTCCTCATTTCCCTCTCTCTTCAGGAGGTGCTTGGCAAGTGCTTTGGAGGACCTGAACAGTGATATCACACAAGGCTGGCAGCTCTCCCTTGCCTCCAAACGAGGGGAGAGGAGATGCTGAGACAGACTGTCTAGACATTTTTCAGATTGCTCAGTGTTCTCCATCAAGGCCTGGACCATCTCCCAGAGATTCCTGCACACAGGGGACTCTGTTCACAGAGATTTCAACCAGCCTATGCAAATGCATCTATATTACAATCACATCATCTTCCCAAATATTCTGGAGGTGCCCTTCCCCAAGCCCTCTCCACAGAAGGACATTGCTGTGCTTGAAGAAGGAACAGAGGACAAGGAGTCCTCCTGAACAGTGCCCCTGCTCTCTAGACAGGTATCTGAGGGGAAACTTATGTCTCTTGAAATTGTGAACCTAGATTTGCCTTCCCAGCAGCATGGTACTTCTAGGAAGCTAATAAGAAAGCCCTTAAAATACCTGTTTTGCCAGCATGCAACCAGGCCAGCAGAGGCAAGAGCTGCTTAAGCGGCAGTGGCAGCTAGCATCCCTCTTGACAACCAGCAAAAGCGTACAGGCTTGATAAACCTCTTCGCAATTGATAAACAAGCATCATTGATCAGTAATGCAGAAAGCGAGTTTTCTCTGTGCTCAGTCCCTTTTCCCCACTTTTGTGGCACTCAGTTGTACCTGAGCCTGACTTTAGTTACTCTGCCAGCTTTCTTCTTCGGGGTAGGCTGAATGCTAAATCAAGATTTTTCTGGCCTTTTAGTTTTTAGAGTTTGTTAGGATCTCTACCTTCATGGATCTGATAAGGTAACAGTTTTACACTGAAAGAGAGTAGGTAGTAGGTATGGGTTAGACAGTAAGAAAAATTTCTTTACTGTGAGGGTAATGAAGCACTGGAGCAGGTTGCCCAGAGAAGCTGCGGATGCCCCATTCCCTGCAAGTGTTCAAGGCCAGTTTTGGATGGAGCTTTGGGTGCCCTGGTCTGGTGGGAGGTGTCCCTGCCCATGGCAGGGAAATTGGAACTAGATCACAGAATCACAGAATTTCTAGGTTGGAAGAGACCTCAAGATCATCGAGTCCAACCTCTAACCTAACACTAACAGTCCCCACTAAACCACATCCCTAAGCTCTACATGATTTTAAAGGATGATTTTAAAGGTCCCTTCTGATCCAAACCTTTCTATGTTTCCATCTAAATCATGGTACAGGAAATTAACACAGAATTTTGGTGTTCTTTACATTCAGAAAGCTGACTGGAGACCCATCACTTGTTTCTGTTACCTTTAGAATTTTCAAGTTGCGAAATATCATTACGGATTTTTCTTTTTCCTCAGGGAAACTTCTAAAACTCAAAGTTCCCCTCTCACTGAAATGCCTGAAATTGCTGCCACCTCTGTGTGAGGTATGATCTCTTCCTTTTGAAAATATCAGGTAGATTATAAAAAGCACTTAACTATTAAAGCTTTGATTCCTGAAAATTCATAGTTAATCACCATAAAATTTCATTTTTATGGAGGTCCATTTTACATCTACTCTTCTGCAATTGAAAAGCATTTTTCATTTTGATCATTAATCATAGCTCTAGTAACCTTATTTAAGTTCCCAATTAACATATTAATTTAGTGAAACTCCTACTAAAATTAAAATAGCATTTATATTAGTAGCTTGTGTTACGGACAGCAATGTTTAATCAGACACCTATCAAACTTATCATGCAGAAAACCTTCCATGGAACCTCAGAGCAAGGAATAGATAAACATCTGGTCATTAAAGAGGTTTCATTTTTCAAGAACGGATGTAAGGAATACATTTGCAAAAGTGTATCGCCACAGACACATTTGTATATGCAAAAAATAGAACAATTTACAAAGTAGTCACACAAAGTAATTCTACAGTAAATGCTGATTTTGGCAGGCTCCAGTGCTATATGCATATTTTGTCAAATGTACCCCACTAGCCCTTTTCTTTTCCCTAGACTGGTCCTAAAAATTCCTTCAGAAAACAAAGATTCTGCATATCTTAGCACTTCATGAACTGTCTGTCAAGCAAGTACAGTTCCCATAGACTGCAAAGGAACTGCTAAGTGACCACACGTTAATGCCATTAAGCTACTGGGCTTCTGACAACCATGTGTTTGTGTAATGAATCAGTCATATTAAAAGCGTGTGACAAAAATGACTCATGAGTGAATTCATCACCACTGAGACTCCACTTCAGCACTCCTTCACCACTAGTCAGCTGAACTATGAAGATGCTTCCACAACTTGGCTGTTTGGCAGCAACTAAGTCAAATATTCCCAGCAACATGCAGCAGAGGTGCTGGCTCTGCATGTCCTCCTGGATTGGAATAAGCTTCTGTACCACAAATACCTTTCAGATTCACAAAGGAAAAAATAAATAAAAATCACACATTAATATAGATAGCTTTCTTCTGGCTCTTTAAGAAACTCTGCTTCACGATGACTGCATTTTCAGGGAATCCTTCTTTTACTCCAGAAAGCAAAATATTGTAACAAGCTAGGACTTCGAGCATTCAAATTTATCCTACTCCATTTAGATGCCTCCTTTCTTGTGGAATATCAAAGTAGTCATTAATTCTTCTGCCCAAAGTCTCTCATTATGACTTAATCATAAAGGACTGCATCCACCTGTGTTGTCTAATTACCACCTCAGGGCAGTTTGGAAGTCACAGAGCCTTGACAGAGGGCTGAAAACTGAGGAGCTACACCTTCCCCACTTCTGAAGACAGGGTGAAGACCATCAGGACTTTTGTTGCCCTTGTTCTTCAAAAACACAAATGGGGATTCTACAGCTTCCCCACCTAGCCTTTTGTGTGCTCTGTCACTTCTTCACACCTTAGTGAGCTGAAATTTATGCTGATTTCTTCCTCTGTCAGTGCTTATTTTATCTCCTACCTGTGTTAGTCTTTTAGCAGTAGGTAAAGTGCTGTTTCAAATAAGGTATGTTTATTTGTCCTTGAGATCCTTGAGATGGAGCAAAAGAAGAAACGACTGAACACTTTTTTGTTGTTGTTGTTGTTGTTTTGTTTTTATTTTTTAAAAAAGTCTTCCAATTCAAAGCCACAAATGGTGCCAATATACTTTCAGCACAGGACAAAATGTCTGTTTTCATAACCCTGTCTGAGGAAGGCAGGTTAATCATTTTGGAAGAGCTCTTTTTACTGCTGTATTTATTTTCTTTTAGATTTTTTTATATCATACATAACAAGTGTTAAATGTTACTTAAAAACTGTTTTCCCTCCTGGTATGTATACAATAAAACAGATATGTCTGTAAAACTGTGATTTACCTCGGCACTCTGTTCTCGTTGGTGTGCTCTGATATCCTATACGACACTGGCATATGTAGGATCCCTGGGTGTTCACACAGTCTCCACTGATACATGGATTCTTCTCACATTCATCAACATCTGCAAGACACAGACAGTATATTTTTATTAAGACATTGGTTGAAAGACATTCAGGTCCATAGGGTTATTTTACTGTTTTGTAGTTGGAGAAACAGTGTGCTGCAATCTAAAATGAGAGGGGATACCACTGAATTCCCACTAACAGGATCCCGTGTTCTAAGCTAAGCAGGACCTGGGAAACTGGAGTACTCAAGACAAGATATTGTGGTAGAGGTCTTGATCCCACATGTCTGTATTCCCAGCACCACAGGACGGATTTTGACAGAAGCAAAATCTTGTAAGACAGCTAATCCTTGCTCCTTTCATCTAACTCCAGCTGAGTTCCAAAATCAAAGGCCTCAAGAGTCCAACAAGGTACTCCTGATCAGCTGAAAGAGGACTTGTTAATTTTACTGAGTTTAAGATCATGGCTGCTTTTATTTTTTTTTTTTTAATTTTATTTATTTGTTTACAATAATTCTTTTGCATACTCAAAGAGATCGTAACTTTTTAAAGATGTCATTTTAAATCACTAAGAAACAAATTACAATCACAGATTAATAAGAAATCCTTAATTTGGTATAATTTTGTGACAAGTTACAAGATTTGTTATATGCTGTCTTAAGGACAAAACTGCTGTAAAAGTAACTCTGCTGTTGAAAGAAGTTTTGCTGTCTTAAATATGAAGTTATTTCGGTGTGTTGTTGTTGTTTGTTTGGCAGGGGGTTATTTTATATAAGAACTCAGAGTTATTACATTGTCTAGAAAAGAAAAAAAGTTTAATAAAATTCCCTTCTGTGATTTACAGCAAAAAAAATCACATACCAATGCATTCCCCTCTAACATCTAATTGGAATCCTTTGTTGCACTCGCAGCGGTAGCTCCCAGGAGTGGGAATACAGCGCCCATTAAGGCAGAGATGTCGGAACAACTGGCAATAGTCAGTGAAGTTCACCGGCAAGATCACTGAAAAAAGTTGGAAAAATATTTTAATAGCTCATCATAATCATTTTTGGTAATCTGCGACTTGGACAGCATTTTCCGTTAAAAATAAACATTTACCTTCCATCACAACATGAATTACATAGTACAATCAGCACTGGAAGAGAGAAGACAGCACTTTGTCTCTAAGAGATCTGTCTGAAACCAGCTAACAACCACTGCCTTTTTCATTGTGGCAAATCTGATACAGTTTTCCTCTTTTGCAGGACAAAAATGGCCTAAAACTGCTTGGACCCAGGGGAAAAGCAAGTGTGTGGAATTGCAGGGACTCTATCAAAGGCCAGCTGTAACAAGGAGCAGGAAGACTGGTTCAGTTATCTTCATTTTCAAACACAGCACAGCGACAGAGAGCAGGAATAACCTTGGAAGGTATGCCTATACGGACTTTGGCAGACAGACATGAGCGGGTTCTATCCATGCTCCCAGCTGACCAGAAGCTGTGCAGCTACATCAGTGCAGTGTCAGGCCTGAGTTAGTATACTTTGCCTCTTAGGCTTATTACCTCAGCTTGGTGCTGAACCAAGACTAAATAGTTTCAGCTGGTGTAAGTGCAAAGGGAGCCTGCCTGCATCTGCACAGAGCATGGGTCAAACGAACTTGTGTTTACTTGCAAAAGAAAATGTGGTTAGGCCAAGTGATTTTAGGTGGTACATGCCTACTGCAAACTATCTGGGTACTCAGTAAATTCCCTGAGAAAGGGCAGAATAAGGAATATGTCATTATTCAGCTCTGGCTTCTATGTTGCTCTAGTGAAACCGTACCTATCTCATGTGTATCACTGGAACAGTTCTTTCTTTACATTGGGTCCGCCTCAGTGCCCACCAGACTAGTATTTTTACCTGTATATCACCTGGCCAAGGGAGAGTGAGGAACACAACCTGAAAGAAGCTGCTTTCTCATAGACAAACTCTTTAAAGTAACTATCACAACTTAGTTCAAAAGCTATTCATGTTGCATGATGTTGACATACAGCAAAGCTCACAATAGCCTTAAAATGACAGTAATGTAACTATTATAATACATACATCTCAGTACAGACAGTAAAGATATGATGTTGGAATCCTATAGAAAGGAGGAAGACACTAACAATGAGGTACACTTGCTGTAAGATACATGTTAACCAGGCTACAATTAGAAGGACATCTAGAAACTATATGGCCACATAAAATATGTGATAACAGTTGAAGAGAACAAACTGCTCCTCAGAAATGCATGTTTGTATATAAACTAAATGCAAATGGTATAGGAAAAAGTCAATACTTCCTTCTTACCATGAGGTGGTGGAGCCCGAGATGGATAGACAATTTCTGGCTGTTGAGGGACCAGAGGAGGATAAACAACAGGTGGAGGCATGACTTCAGGACGACCCGGAGGAATGTCAGGTCTTGCTGGCAGCAGAGCGGCTACTGTGCACAATTTGCGATACTCATCTAAAATGTGAAAAACACAACTGCTGTTTTAGACTCTTGTAGCTTTTCCATTTAATCCAACTCCCCCCTTTGCACAGCATGTCAGATTAGTAATACCAAACTCTAAATAATTTGGAAACTCTGAGCCTATAATTTTCTTCATAACAACAAGCTTTGTTCTGTGAATCACGTCATTAATCCAAAGAAGGGTATTAATGCTGCTTGTCAAAAGACTGCTCGTACAAAGCTAACATAACTGACTTTCTGGATATGAAATTGAACGGTCAAACTGGGACCTGATCTTAATTTCATCTTAATCTGATTTCAATCATCAAATCTTTGATGAACTCGGTGAAAAATTTACCAAAAGAAGGACTTTTGGACTTGATCCCAAGTTAATTTAACACAAAACCTCCCATAAAGCTATAAGAATACTGGACTGGTAAAAAACAAGCAAGCAAACAAACAACAGTTTCTACTGTACTTCTTAAAAGTTAATCCCCTAAAACAAAGAAATATAAACATAAACCATGAGGCAAAAGCAATTAGAGAATGAATACACTAGCGCTATTTCATTGTGAAAACAAAGTTTGCCCTTAAAGCAGAAATCAAATGAGGTGCAATCTAAGGAATATAGTCAAAGAGAAACTGAGTCAGATCCACACCAAATTCATCCTTCCCTTAAGGGGAAAATGATTTGTTTTGCTGTAAACACTATCTATACTGAGCGTTACACATTCTTCTATTGTTTATCTTTATTAGTGGCATCTGCCCTACTGACTCACTTTTCCTTGTGCCCCCAGCCCTTTTGTCCTTGGGAAGTGTGGGGTTGGAAGATGTGATGCAAAAAATGCGCACAATTAAAGACCACATTTCCAGCTGACCTGATTCTTGCCGACAATTCATGTGTACACAAATAATTATTTGTGCAGCCAGTATATTTGAACTTCAAAATTGTACAGTTTATGACAGAACTGGAGGGAGGAATTATATAATGAAAACAAAATGCTAATGATGCATGAATTTCTGAACCAATATAAAAAAATTAGAACTGAAAAACAAATCCAGTGTTAGAAGATCTAGGTTGAGTATTTCAGCCTTCAACACTTTCATCCTGCTTTTATTTTTACTTGTAAAATATATTAGAAATTCTTCCTGAATCACGGAGGTTTTGTTAAATAAATACGGTAGCCCCAAATTCTGCTTTTCCTGATTGTGTTTGTGTTTTGTCTTTGTGTTTATTTTCATATTCTTAGGTGATCAGTTTGTTTCATACATCACTGCATTCCCCTCTACTGTTTCTTAGTGTGACTTAATCTTTAAATCATTCGTACGATTGTATTGTATTTTGCTTGTTTTGTTCTAGTTTTCTATTTTGCCTATTCATAAGTAAGCTGAATCCATTCTCAGTCAGTGATCTGTGATAAAACAGACACAGAGACATTCAGAAGGAAGTGTCCACTTCAGTACGTTCACAAACAACAGCGTGCAATTTCTTTCTAACAACAGTAGTTTTAATAGTCAATTTTCTAATCATCCATTTTCTACAACCTAGTGATTAGTTTCTGTGAAAGGAAATACTTTATTTCTTTTTCACTCCAGATTGGTAATGCTCAAGTACCCAAAGGCAATTGACCAAGAGCTGAGAATTTCCACACAAAAAGAAGTCACAGCATTGGGGCTGCCCACGAATACGATCAGCACACATGAGCGAATGGTTTAGGTGAGAATTGAACACACACGTGGCTGGGTGCCTGACACACCACTTTTGAATTATTTGCAGTGTCAATGCGAAGTGTCACTCCATATAAACAATTATTGCTGTGTTATGCAAAGAAATACAGTGCAAGCCTTTTTTATTGCAACTTTAATCTCCATGTATAATTTCCAGCAATAAACAGCCTATTTTATAGTACCATCTGGTCTGCTGCCCACATTGAAAATGCAGCTACTTGGTTACATTATGCAACCAGTACTCCACTTCATATCGCTGTGTGCTTCCATTTCAGAATTAGAGAGACTTTGGGCCATTGGTACTCTTCGCTGATAGCTCTAAATTCTGCATCTTGCTTTCTCAGGCTATATTGAGGAATAAATGAACATGATTAAATAATGACAGCAATACCTTGCACACAGGTAAGGCTTTTCAAATATTTCAAAGCACCTTTGAAAAGAGAAAGTTCAGTCTCAATCTATATCCCAAGTTAGAAGAAAAAAGTGGAATATAGCCATGATCTGGGAGACCTTGTATGGATTTTTGCATCAGGAAGTCTGAGTTCTAGCTCTTTTTCCACCATATGTCTCAGTCTGTGGCCTGTGCCAAATTACTTCACTTTTCCACCCAGCTTATTCAGCAGTTAGATATGAATAATTAGAAAGCATGTAAAGAAAACAGGGACTGCGTTAAGATTGAGAGTTGTCTCGTCCTCTTCCAATTTCAGGTGATCATCGATAGATTATACTATGTTCTTAGCATTATTCTAGTCAATCTTGGATATTTAAGATGTTTAAATATTATTAACGAGATAGTGACAGAACCAGAAAGATACCTCCCACAGTTTTGATCTTATCTTTCTGCTTCAGTATTACAGTTTCAGTCAAAGGGTTAAAGACAAGAATAATAAGCACTCCCATATGTATTCTTTGACAATTTCTTCAGAGTTATACTGCAGTAGTGTTATGACCCCAAACCCTGCACCTCCCTTGAGCTCCTCCTAGCAATCCTTAAGCTTCTTGTGTTCTTCATTTCTAAAGCATTTCATTAAGTCTCCACTCCTGAACAAACTCAAAAACATCTTTCCTCTACCCCCTCACACTTAGTTTCACAATCCGCTCACCATCTTCTGTAAATTCCAGATTCATGTTATCTGGGGATCTCAATAAGCAGTGAGGCACTAAAGCACAACACGTTTTGATGGCAGACAGAAACCATGTTCTGTGTCAAATTCCAGAATGGCACCTCAAACAGCTAGACATACGAGAAAGAAAACCAGTTTTCCAATGAGAATGAAATTGCAGATGAATCTATTAGAAAGCTCTGGACTAACTTGAGCCTAAAGAGGATGTTGAAAACAATACCTCAGTCAGGTAGGGTCAGAATATCCATGCTACAAAACATCAACTAGCTACTGATAAAATCCTCTGATAATGTTTGCATGCCCTAGCCTATTGGCATTCCTGCCATAGGAGACCACGCTTTGAGCAGCGGGGCTGGATAAAACAATCTCTCAATGTGTCTTCTAGCCTCAACTGTTGTGTGTGATCCTGTGACAAAAATATTACTGATGAAAGAAAATGGCTGCCTAATTCAATGTTCAATCACACTCAGAATACAGGTGGATTCATACCAGTGGATCTGATCGGACACATTTCAGGAGCACCAGCTGCACCAGAAGACCAGCATCGGCCACTGTCACAGCAACACTGCATTTTGGACAAAGGCTGGGGGAGCTGATTGCTGCAGCGCCCATTCGTCAGGGAAGAGAAGCAGTATCCAGGACGCACATCTACCAAGAGAAAAAAATGGATACATAATCATCAGTTCAATGATGAATGTGATTTTAACAAAAAAGACAGGTCCCATTTTTCTTCTTTGATTACATGATCAATGATATAGCATTTTCAACATTAAAAAGGAAAAAGAAAACCAAAGGCAGAAACCCACAAAAATCTGGATAAAATTTGGTCTACGTGGGATTCAACACAGGTGAAATACCTCCTGTGTGAAAGCCAAAGTGAAATGTGGTAGCAATGAATTAGAGGAGGAAAAACAGAATGGAAATGGGTATTCAGTATACAAAATATGCAGGGCCTCCAATGAAAAATTCCAGTGTCAACTCTATAGTTAGTACTATATATAGATAGATAGATAGTACTAGATCAGTTGAGTTTAAGCTTTATTACAAAGCCACTGATACATAGCAAAAATTCACAGCATTGCAGATCTCAAAGGAGTAATTTATATTTCATTTGTCACGCCTTCCCCAGCTGAAGTAGGTAGTGATTTGACAAGATATAGGCTTGCAGGCAAAAGAGAGCAGCACAGCTTTAACTAGTACTGTCACATTGTTTAGGGAAACATACTGTCTTCTTATCTGAAAAGGGTAAGCACGTGCTGTACAATGAACATCCCATACCCAGATTTCGTACACTCAGCTCTAACAACATTGTACAGAAGATACCCTACCTTAGAAATGGGAAATAAAATGTATATGGGAACAAAAAATTAAAATAAAGTAATCTTGTGATAAATACAAAGCTCTGAGCAATTGTTTCACAATACGTCATACCACGTCAAATTCAATAAAAACTGTAGAGTGATTTGATGCTGCATGATAAACCAGATCAAGTTTGTTTTTAAAATGCAAACATTTGCTGTCAAAATGTAGTGGAAAAAGTCACAGATAAAACCTTACAACAGCAGACACCATGCACAAAAGAAACAGTATCTCAGTTATACAAGGCATTCATCTGTCTAACCAGTGCTTTCCAGAGTTTACTAGATATTCTAGTAGACAAGTAAAAAAAAAAAAAAAAAATGCAGGGAAGTTTCTTATTATTCTGAGGAAATTGATATATAGTGATATGTTGGGAGAGCCTGTGATGGTTCTTCGTTTTATTAGCTGGAACCATGAACACGGATATTACTGGCAGTACAGCTAAAACAAAAACAAAAACAGTTGGTCTTTGTTTTCAAACTTCAGTTTACTCTTGTTATGATACAATGGAATTCTGAAATAGACAAAAAAATTCTATTCAGTTCTGTTACTGGCCTCCCGGTACCCAACTAAACTGTGAAGCACACGTAGTCCTTGATCTACCATTTTGAAATCAAAGAAAGCTCTGATGCAAACTGTTCTCCACTGCATTTGTTACACAGTCTCCTCTTCACACAAAGGAGAGGTACATTCAGATGTTTGGTGTGATGGTGGGGTGCATGGGCAGAAAGGGAGGACTGTAACCACCCCTAACCCCTGTCATTCAGTCTTATCAGTTTTGGTCAGTACGAAGTTCTGAAACAAGTGAATGCAGTAATGGGCAGAAGTGGGAAAAGTGTCTATGTGGGTTCTGTGCAAGCACACAACGTGCCATAAAAAGATAAACAAAGAGCAAACATTTTTGTCTGCCTACAGGCATAAGAGCTTATCCAAAAGCTACAACACTTTCAGAAAAGGAAGGTAAATTTGTGAGTTTTTACTTATTAGGAGTATGGAAAATACTCCTAATAAGTAATTCTTTCCTTATTTAGTTCTTTTTTCTCTTTTATTTTCTGTTGCAAAAGGGAAAACACGCATAAGGTCAAAAATAGAGGGAAAAACATTTTTCTATTCACAAATACATTTTCAGAATTAACAATTATAATATTTTTCACTAAAAACTATTTTGAAAATTAAAAAAAAAAAATCACTGAATATAGGTGTCAGGAATTTTTGGAAGGAAAAAAAAAAAAAAGTAATCTAAAAGTAACACAGAGCAAACAAATTTATGAAAGCCAGAACCAGGTTTATAAGCTTTCTTAATAGCACTCTCGATGTACTTTGGTTGAGACGTTCCGCTTTTATTTCTACTCTCCAGCTCCATTTGCTTCATCTATTCTAATTTTTAAGATTTGTCATAATGGAACTCCCAGTTCTCCCTTCGGATATTTGGCTTCAGTGCTGCTCCATTTGAGTCCCATAAGGGATACATTTCTCAGAAGCATTTCCTCATCTCTAACAGAATAGACACGTTCAGCTAACACTTTTCACTTAAGACAGGCATGTTGTAATTAAATCAAGATTACATGTTTTGCCCATCTCTAATACGGATTTGGGTTCCATCCCTGTTAATATAGCAAGTAAGCAGTCTGCCTATTAGACAAAATCCAAAATATCTGCAGCTAATTAACAATGCTTCCCATTTAGCACGTTTTGCCTTGGACACAAAGCCAAAATTTCAATGATGGTTCATGGTCTGGCATATTACTTAACATAGCCTGTCATCATTTAAATACCCCATTCTTTAGCTAAACTATTTCAGACTGCAAATACAGTGGGTAAAAAAGGCTGGAAAACTGCCGGAATGGAAGGGAATGTTGGGCAAACCTGACTGAGCAATGAATATAAAAAGTAAAACGCAAATAGCAGTTGAGCATCTCCACAGAAGTTTTTGCTACATACAAGTGCAAAAATATCTTTCATAAATATTAACTACAAATGGTAATGTCGTGGTTTAACCCGGCCGGCAGCTAAACACCACGCAGCCGTTCGCTCACCCTCCCCCCTCCCTCTCTGGGACGGGGGAGAGAAATGGAGAGTGAAGCCCGTGAGTTGAGATAAAGACAGTTTAATAAGACAGGAAAATAATAATAACAAAAATAATAATAACAATAATAATAATAATGATACAATGGTGATAATACGAAAGTAATAGTATGTACAAACAAGTGATGCACAATGCAATTGCTCACCACCCGCTGACCGATGCCCAGCCTAACCCCGAGCAGTCCGGCCCCCTCCCCCCAGCTAGCCACCCCTATATATTGTTTAGCATGACGTCAGATGGTATGGAATACCCCTTTGGCTAGTTTGGGTCACCTGTCCTGGGTCTGTCCCCTCCCAGCTCTTACTGCACCCCCAGCCTGCCCGTTGGCAGGACAGAGCAAAAGGCTGAGATGTCCTTGGCTTAGTATAAGCACTGCTCTGCAACAATTAAAGCATCGGGGTGTTATCAGCACTCTTCTCATCCTAAGCCAAAACACAGCATTCCACCAGCTACTAGGAAGAAAATTAATTCTGTGCTAACTGAAACCAGGACAGGTAATCAATGATTTAATGATTGTCATTTAGGAGCTATTCATCTGAAGCAATAAGAGTAATGCTCAGCCAGAATTTTAAGCGTATATAGTACATGTCTAATCTACTAAAATTCTGTTCTTGATAATGCAAGAAACAGTCTATTTCTCACAACCTGCAGAAATAGAATGGCACTTACATAGAATGATTCAAAATGAATCATAACCCAAACTACTTCCAGAACTCTTGGGAAAATTAATATCATTTGGTACTTTTCTCTGTGAAGTTATTTTTGTTCAAATTTTTCCCAAATCATTATATACCAAAGGTACTAAACAACAAAGAGCTCAACCTGTTCCAATGCCTCACCACCCTCATAGTAAAGAATTTCTTCTGATTATCTAATCTAAATTACCCTTTTTGAGTATCAAGCCACTACTCCTTGTCCTATCACTACTCTCCCTGACAGAGTCCCTCCCCAGCCTTTCTCTAGCCCCCTTTTAGGTACTGGAAGGCCACTATAAGGTCTCCCTGAAGCCTTCTCTTCTCCAGGCTGAACTACCCCAGCTCCCTCAGCCTGGTTTCACAGGAGAGGTGCTCCAGCCCTTAGATAATCCTCTGGATAATCCTCTGCCCATTCTGGACTCACTCTAATATAATATGGACTAAACCAAGTACAAACACAAGAGCAAGAATATCAAGTATAATTGTTAAATATGTTCTGCCTACTTAAAGAGAACAAACATGACATGACAGAAAAATTCTAATACAAAAAATTAAACAGAAGGTCACAACAAAGAAGGAAAGAGGAAACATCTTGTAAATGAAAGCCTCATTTTGGAATACAAATATAGGCACATTATGTACTTTTATATAAAAGAAGGATTTAAAGATCACAAGGTGAAATATGTTTCTGGTACAATGTTACCCATTTCTGAGATTCATGAATGCTCATGACACCTACTGTATTATGATTTACAGTATTTTACTCACCTATGCATTTTAAACCATCAGGAGCTGTATAAAACCCTGGAGGACACTTGCAGAAATAACTGCTGACTGTGTTTGAACACTCTCCTCCATCACAGATTCCAGGAATGGTGCTGCATTCATCAATATCTTAAAGCAAAAAAGAGAAGCAGGGTCAGATTAGCTGTATTAGGCATGAGAAAAGTTGTTTTATAATTAACATTAATGATCAAATTCATAATCAAATTGATCATTAATGATCAAATTCAAGCCTGATACCCCTCTCAACTTATGTACTAGGGACACAATCAGCAGTTTCAAACCAGGATCAGGATCTTTTGTTAGCTATCTTATAAATGCAAGTGACACAGAATCTAAGGTCATATTATATCTATAAACTGCAAAAGATCGGTTTGTTTTGCTGCTTAATAATGATGAATGAAAATCTAAAGCTGCAGAAAGGATTTACTAACTGTAAGTAAGCAATAACTGCCAATTTGAATTCTGCACACTAGGATTAAGAAAATCAGTAGCGATCAGGAACATAACTGTTACGTCTTGTGGTATCTCCAGCTGCACAGCATCTTCTGGCACCAGA